CCTTAATAATAATAGAAATAATAAATAAGCCCCTCAGGGAGGAGGAGGAGGAGGGGGGTGTCTTCATTTGGTGGCTTTTCAAGTCGTCGTGGGGGTCAGGCGGGGCCCCCCCCGGCGCTGAGCTGCTCCTGCAGCCCCAGCAGGCTGTAGGCGATGCGCTTCTGGTGGCCCGGGAGCCGGACACCGATCTTCTGGATGTCCCTGGGGAGGAGAAATTTGGGGACGGGGAGGGGGGAAGAAAATGCCAGCTGGTCAGGGGGTGATGTCCCCACCCAGGGGATGTGGATCACCCCCAATCTGACACGGGTCGGGGGTTGGAGGGGATGGTGTGGGGACACCAAGGGGACACCATGGGGGCAGTACAGGCACACCAAGGGGACACCATGTGGATACTAAAGGGACAGTGTGGGGACACCAAGGGGATGGTATTGGGCACCAAGGGGACACCATGGGGACACCAAGGGGACATCATGGGGGCAGTACAGGCACACCAAGGGGACACCATGTGGATACTAAAGGGACAGTGTGGGGACACCAAGGGGATGGTATTGGGCACCAAGGGGACACCATGGGGACACCAAGGGGACATCATGGGGGCAGTACAGGCACACCAAAGGGACACCATGGGGATACCAAGGGGACAGGGCAGGCACACCAAGGGGACACCATGGGGACAGCATGGGGATACCAAAGGGACAGTGTGAGGACACCAAGGGGACAGTGCAGACACACCAAGGAGACACCATAGGGATACCAAGGGGACACCATGGGGACAGCAGGGGGATACAAAGGGGCCACCACGGGGATACCAAGGGGACACCAAGGGGATACCAAGGGGACACCAAGGGGATACCAAGGGGACACCAAGGGGATACCAAGGGGACACCAAGGGGATACCAAGGGGACACCATGGGGGCAGTACAGGCACACCAAGGGGACACCACAGGGATACCAAAGGGACAACATGGGGACACCAAGGGGATGGTATTGGGACACCAAGGGGACTCCATGGGGATACCAAGGGGACACCAAGGGGACACCAAGGGGATACCAAGGGGACACCATGGGGACAGCCTAGAGACACCAAGAAGACAACATGGGGACACCAAGGGGACACCATGTGGATACTAAAGGGACAGTGTGGGGACACCAAGGGGATGGTATTGGGCACCAAGGGGACACCATGGGGACACCAAGGGGACATCATGGGGGCAGTACAGGCACACCAAAGGGACACCATGGGGATACCAAGGGGACAGGGCAGGCACACCAAGGGGACACCATGGGGACAGCATGGGGATACCAAAGGGACAGTGTGAGGGCACCAAGGGGACAGTGCAGACACACCAAGGAGACACCATAGGGATACCAAGGGGACACCATGGGGGCAGTACAGGCACACCAAGGGGACACCATGGGGACAGCAGGGGGATACAAAGGGGCCACCACGGGGATACCAAGGGGACACCACGGGGACACCAAGGGGATAGTACAGGCACACCAAAGGGACACCATGGGGACAGCGTAGAGACACCAAGAAGACATGAAGAGGACACCACGGGGACACCAATGGGATGACATGGGGATGGTATGGCGTCACCAAGGAGATGGTTAAGGGACAGCATGGAGATACCATGGGGACGGTGCGGGCACACTGTGGGAACATCACGGGGACGCCATGGATACAGTATGAGGACACCACGGTGGCACACCATGGGGACAGCGTAGAGACACCAAGAAGACATGAAGAGGACACCACGGGGACACCAATGGGATGACATGGGGATGGTATGGCGTCACCAAGGAGATGGTTAAGGGACAGCATGGAGATACCATGGGGACGGTGCGGGCACACTGTGGGAACATCACGGGGACGCCATGGATACAGTATGAGGACACCACGGTGGCATTATGGGGACACCACAGAGATACCATGGGGACAGCGTGGGGACAGTATGGGAATGGAATGAGGACATCATGGGGACACCATGGATACCGAACGGGGATATCAAAGGAACACCACGGAGATACCACGGGGACAGCAGGAGGACACCAAGGGGACATCCTGGGGACACCATGGAGACTACAGGAGGGTACCATGGGGACAGTATGAGGGTACCAAGGGGGCAGTATGGGGATGCCATGGGGACAGTAGGAGAGTATCAAGGGGCCACCATGGAGATAGCCAAGGGGACACCGAGGGGACAGCACGGGGACTCACTCGCTGGTCATCTGCAGGACCTTCTCGATGGTGCTGTAGCCCGAGGCCATGAAGTGCTGCGTGTACTGGGGCATGCGGATGGACTCCAGCCACTCGGGGACGGAGCCGAAGGGGGGGACGCCGGGGGGGCCGCTGGTGCTGGGCAGCCGGATGGAGACCCTGGCGGGGGGGGCACGGCCACCGTCAGCGCCGGAACACGGACCCCGGAATGGGAGGATGCCGAAAAAATGGAGTGGGAAAGGAAAAATGCAAGAAAAAAAACCAACCTAAAATGTAAAAACGGAAGGATGCAAAGAAGAAGGATGCGAGAAATGCGAGAATGTAGAAATGAAACGGTGCAGGAAATGATGTGGAAATGGAAGGGTGCAAAAAAAAAAGAAAAAAAAAATGGAAAAAGGGAAAGGCGCAAAAATAACGAGGCAGAAATGGAAGGATGCAAAAAGTAATGGAAAAAGAGAAGGATGCAAAAAACGGCGCAGAAGCGGAAAGATGTAAAAGATGACGCAAGGGGAGGAGGGTGAAAAAGAACGGTGCAAAAAATTGGAGGATGCAAAACGCAACGGTGAAAAGGATGACGCGAGAAGGGAAAGATGGAAATAAACGACGCAAAAAAACCCAGAAGGTGCGACAAGCAGAACAAAAATGGAAGGATGCAAAAAAAAAAAAAATGACACAGAAATGGAAGGGAGCCAAAAATGACGCCGAAATGGAAGGGTGGAAGAAGGTAACGCAGGGATGCAAGGATGGGAAAATGATGTAAAAATTGGAAGATGCAAAAAAATGACGCAGAAAGGGAAGGATGCAAAAAAAAAAGATAGAAAAAAAGGAGGGAGGTGGGAAAAAAGGTGTAAATAGTGCAAAAAAAAAAAAAAAGAGCGAGAGGCGATGCAGCAGTGCCCAGCTGTGGAAAAAAGAACACAGAGATGTAAGACGGAAGGAGGAAAGTAGAAATGCAAGAAAAAATGAGGCAAGAATGCTACAAAAGCACAAAATGAGGGGAAAACACTGAAGGGGGGAAAAAACCCCTAAAATCCTGAAATGCAGAGAAGCAGACAAGAGTACGGGAATCAAAAACTCAGTTAAAAAAATGCAAGAGTAGGAAATAGCAAAATCCATTCCAACAGCACGGATGCCAAAAAGCACTAAACCAGCCCGAAATGGCAAAGGTGCAAGAAGCGAGGCGAGGATGCAAAGACGCCCAAAACAGCGTGGGAAGGCTGAAGTGAGAAAAGCAACACGAGGACGCAAAAGCTGGAAAAAGGAAAAAAAAAAAAAAAGACGTGAAAAGGGCATCAAAGAAGCAAAGAGCGACGCAAGGAGGTGCAAAACCAGCACGGAAAGGCTGAGCCACAAAAGGTGAAGCAGAAACGCCAAAAAAAAATTTAAAAAAATTACAAAGACACAAAAAAAAGGGCAGTGAGGACGCAGAGACGCGGAAGAATTCCCGGGTGCCGCGGGAAACGACGCCCGAAATGTTTTCAGGAAAACACACGAGGTGTGAGGGTGAATCGCGCCCCTTTTTTTTGTTGTTTTTGCCTTTTTGTGGTGGTTCCCCCCCCGTTTGGTGTCTCACCGCGGGTCGAAGTCGGCCAGGGCGCGCAGCGCCTCGGGGGCGCGGAT